CATGGAGATGTTGACGCTCAGCGCGCTGGCGACTAAGCAGAGCAGCGCGAGGAAATTCCCGATATGGAAGACGGGAAGTCGACCGAATCTCTCGGACAGCGGCGCGATGAAAAATGGGCCGATTCCTTCGCCGAGTTCCCAGATCGTGACGAGGAGAGTCTGGTCAACTGAGCTGTGTGAATGGAATTCTTGGAGGATTTCGGGTGCCGTGGGTACGATTGTCATTGTTGAGAAGACACTAGATATTGAGGTTAATTCAACGAGCATGCGATAGATTATACAAAAATCGACGAGGAAAACAACAAGGAAGTAATGATGCTCACCTGACAAACCCCATCCATGAAACAACAATCACAATCAGCCATTTGTGCACTGGCGACCAATTCAGCGGGTTTTCCGGGTCGTTCTCGTCAAAGTCCACGAGGACGACATCTGGATCGCTATCTTCGCTGGCATCGGCATTTTCCAATGGCTGTTCGTCGGCGATTTTTCCCTTCTCGTTGTCCACCGTAGTCAGGGATTGCTCGTTGTGTGATGCATTGTGCGGTTCAAATGAGGATAGGATGGGGACCGGGTGGTTGATGGTCTCATCGATGAAAGACATCACTGCCAAGCGGGTGGCATGCGCGAATAGGTTTCTAATCCACTACTGAAAAGGCAAGTGGTAGGAAAAGGCGCATAGCGACATTTTAGGGCCGACATAGTTCATCACGTGGAGAGCCTAACGCGCGATCCTGATCCGGAAACAAGACGTAGGGAGGCCTAGAATTGGCCTGGGAACTTTTTAATTAAGGCATGGGCAGACGTACTAAGTCTAGTCCCCTGAAAGTTTCCATTATCTTACATGTTATTCAAGGTACATGTCTTCGCCCAATAAGGAACCTGTCTTAGTTCTTATCAGCAAAACATGCAATTGGTCTCAATAACTCCACTATTCCCTCCACGCTTTATAAGGCTTAACGGCACGCTCCACTTGGAGAGGCCCACTTGGGACATATTATTATCCAGGTGGTGGAGAACCTACCAACAGCAATTAAGGCACCTCACAGATGAGGGCTACTTGGTAGGTCTTCCATGAGTTCAGTTTTGTGTTTCTCGAGTAAGAGAATGCTTGTGTTTCCCAATGTAGGTCTTATAGGATTGAGAAGCCAAGGCATTACGATCCTAGGTCAGTCAACTAAAAGAATATCATGCACGAAACGATACCAAGACTTGTAAAGCGAACAATCTATTCCCTATTGGAGACCAAACTGATCTATGTATACACGCTATAATTGAAACGAAACCCGCTAAAGCTCATCCTTATCCCAGCCAGAGGAAGTCTCGCCCTCCTCATCCTCGTCAGGGTACGATTCACCGGCCCTTTCTTCCTCCACCTGCCCCTGCTGCTTCTCAGCGGCAACTCTCTTCGACAAGGCCGCAATCTCATCATCATACTCCGTCCACTCAGGTACCTGCCTCCTGGCACGATCCAACTTCGGCTCCTTCGTCATCGGGTTATTGCACAGGTCGATCGTCCGAGCCTGTGACTGCGACTCATCCGAGCACCAAGTCTCACACCACAGCCACTCCTGCGGCAGACTCTTGATCGGGATATGATGCTGCATGTGGTTCGGCAGATCCTGGTCCAGGTTGCTCAAACTCTCGGGGTCAGCTGACAGCATCTGGTACTGTCCACGCAGGCGATCGCCGGCGGCGATGGCACGGAAGCGGTTCAGGTCGACAACGTAAAGCGCGGAGATATGGTAGGGTTGACCACGGAGGAAGTTCTTCCAGTACCCCTGCTTCCAGAAGCGGAAGCCTTCCATCTCGTGGCGGGAGTCGCACATGGGAGTAAAGCCGTACGGAGCGCCTTCGAGGTCAAGGCTGACGAGGTCGTACATATCTGTGCGGACTATCTGGTCGGCGTCGACAAAGATGACTTTGTCGAGGTCGAGAGGGAAGAGAACGTCCAGGAAGAGGATCTTGTAGCCCCAGATTTCACGTTGCTTTTCTTTCTGGGCCCGGAGCCAGTGTGGCCATTTGTAGGTGACCATTTCGTAAGAGAAGTTATACTCCTTCGCAAGGTGAGGCAGGAAGGACTTGAAGGACGGGGAGAGGAATTGTTCGATGAACCAGAATTTCACGCTGTGGTTGGTGTTGCGCATCACTGAGACCATCATAATGTTGAGCATGCGCTCGTAGAGGTGTCCACTGGCGACGGAGAAGATGTTAATGTCAGCCTGTTTGCCGCTAGTGCTGCCTTTGGTGCCGACTCCGACGCTGGAGAGGATACCGGAGGCGAAGTTGAACCCCTTATTCATGTAGTCCATCGCAGAACCTGGTTTGGGGTTGGTCTCGAGGACGTCTTCGGTCTCGTAGCCCTTCTTACGGGAGACACGCGGGAAAAGGGTGCGGCCTTGGAAGGAGAGGAGGGCCACTTCGTTGTTTTCGTCGCCAGGTTGGGGGTTGTAGCCGAGGCTGCCTACGCTGTCGAGGGTGAAGATGCGTTCGCTACGGCCCGGTTTGAGGTTGATGTTCCACAGTCCAGGTTGGGCTTTGAATTGGAAGTATCCGAGATTGGCCATGATGATTGTATCCGAGAAGTGAGGGTTGTTCTCAGTTCCAAGGACAAGCTGAACTCCTCTAGGTGGGGACTTCGTGGTCATATCCCGGGAGTGGCCCTCGATCAAGATGTGTTCCAATGCGTAAATAGCATCGACATTCGAGCCGTCCTTGACGGAACTTAACTTGATATTGTCAAGATCGTGGATAGAATCCTTGGGAGCCACAAGCCAAGAAGAGGGAACATCCATGCCCAGGGTGAGGAGTGCCTCGACGGGAACGCCCGAGAAGGAGGCTGTGGGCCGGGAAACCGACCCATCTTCGTTGAACGATGGCTCCGAATCGAGAACATAACGATAGAAGCGCTTGGTGGGCAGCTCTTTGATCTCCTCGCGCGGGTTCAGGACCAATCTCACTCTGACACTTGCCAGCTCCGACAGTACTTTTAGAATTGGTAGCCACTTCTGAGCAACTTCCGAAGTCGGATCGATAGATGCTACAATGGTAATTGCTGGATCATCGGAATTGGAGACAGTGATAGCTGATTGTGAGTCGTTCCATCTGTTGAACAAATTCAACCGAATGTCCGAAGTCGACTCATATATGCCCTCTGGCACATCCGAGATCGTGGACAGCGTGGTGAGCGAGGTAAGCTTGGCAAAGTCTAGCGGATCAGAAAGCTTCTCGTCGAATTCAAGGGCTTTGACCGCCTTTGCTACCGGAGTAATCCGCTTTTGCTTCTCATATATCAGTAGCTGGTCCAGGTCCTCTGAGGTCAGGGCGGTGTCTTCTGCAATCGGTCCAACGACCCTTCCGTTGATGACAAGTGCCCTTTCGCCCGGAGCGAGTCCAAGCTCTTCTACTACAGCTCGCTGAGCCTCCCAGAAGAGTGCCGCATCCCCAGCTTCCTCATCTGCTGGCGAGGCGGAAGAGGCGATCGCCTCCAAAATCTGGCTGGCATCTACCTCTTTGCCACCATTCAACAATCGACGAACAGCGACAGACCTAGATGCGGGGGACGCCTCGAGCTTAGGATTGTGTAGGAAAAGCATCTCAACTTCACCATGTGTTTTTCGGCTCTCAAGGGCCGCGCTGAGTAGCTCGTAACCGGATTTCTCATCAAAGTTGCCAACAACGATGGCATGGGCACTCTCCAAGGCATTGCTTTCATCTAGCCCTAAACGTGGAATCTGACTGAAGAGCTTCTCTTGGGAGTCCGCAAGCTGCACCAAGTCCACAGCCCGGATCTCTTTCGGGTCCTCTGGAACGATCGCCGGATTGCGCCTATCGAAAGCCTGCGAGAGAAACAATTCTGGCAACCAGGTATCTTCATCGACCTCGGCATCAGCAATCTTCTGCTGAATTAGCTGAGTATCTTTGCTTATTTTTGTGCTCATTTCCTGCGCCCATTTGTCATTGCGGGTGACAGGAATGCCGTTAACAAAAGCATGTGATGGCTCGTGCTTCATCCCCAGACGGTTTAGGTACGCAGTTGTCTTTGATACCGTTGCGTCATATACAGCATTATTCAAGACTTCATCTAGAGATAGAGACACCTTCTCCAGACGAGGACTCCGGTCCTGAGTTGCAGCCTGGAAGCAGGCCTTATCCGGAGAAGCCAACTTATTTTTGGACGCCGACTGCTCCAATTAGTAACTGACAAACAATAGCGGAATTTGGTTACGGGAAAGTTAGTCCTTACCGCTTCAAGGTAATCCATAAAACTGGCCAGACCAAAAGTCTCTTGAAGGTAATGAGCGACCTTGAGCTGAGCAATTGCTCCGTCTGAGAATGTGACCGGAATCAAACCAAATCTGACGGGAATTTTGTTCTTCACAAAGACCTGGATTGTCTTGACAACAATATCAGCATCTTCAGTGCTCGTCAAGTCGACAGGAAAGACAATATTGTTGGAATCGCGGCGGACTGCCGGAAGCTGGCCTGGATATGTGCGTTGCATAAACTACCAGACATTAGCATCTCCGCAATAAAGAATCCCGGATGTACCTACTCCTGCGAGTTCGCTAGGCCACGATTCATAGCGCGCATCCTTTTCGAGATTGTTCAGCCACATGATGACACCACCTCCCTCAATGTCATCACGGTAGTTGTAACGCTGAGGGCCATCCCGTGCCAAGGCCTCTCCAAGCAGAGGGTGTGACAAAAGCTCTACAGCATCTGTAGCGGACAGGCCTAAGTTTCGGAACTTCTCGATCAATTTCCTTTCGCGACGCAAGTGATCCAGAAGAGTGAATGCGTCCACTTGTCGAGGTTCAATCTGAACACCGTTGATCCAGAGCACGTTGAGCCCCGGCGGAAGCATACGCAATCTGCTGGACCGAACATCTTGCAACAGCTCGGTGGAAACGTTGTGAGCCGCAACACGTGCGGAGTATTTGGGGAAATCCTGTGACAGCTTCACAAGTGTGTCAAACGGGTCATCGCTATCCAACACATACCCGACCGTGTTCAGCCCAAGCCGAGAAACTTCGGATGATGACAGGGGTCTCAGGTCATCCAAATCATCTTCTGTCTCATCAGACTTTCCGGACTCAATGCTGCCGGTCCCTCTTTCTTCCGCGTCTCTATCATCAATCACAATATAGTCCGTCCGCTTTAACGCCAGCTCGACACCGTATCCAGACACAAAAACAGGACGTGGAGACCAATGTTGAGGAGGTCTGTATCGCACGCGATACGAGACTTGTCCTTCTTTCGCCATCGTACTCAGTGACTGGTGAAATTCCTTGAACATCGGGGACGCTATATCCGCATACAAAATCGCTGGAGGCAGAGAGGGATCTCCGAAGACACGATCGAAAGGGAGTTCTCGTGGGTCACTACATTGTAGCGGTTAGTCACCAGCATGTAGACACAAATTTGAGATTACCACTCACTCAGAACCCGTAACATCCTGCTGGGCGCGTTCCATAGTAGACGAGCAGTATTGCTTTCCTTCGGAGTGCACCCAAACAGGACAGACCGCATCCTGCGCGGCCATTAACGAATATTGAACCGAAGCATTGTAGTACTGGTAGTGAGCCGTGATCCGCGGACTGGCGGATCTCATCGCCAGCGACAGCTTGAAAGATGAGAGACTTTCAGGGGTCCGTAAGTGTCCATCCTCACGCACAACCTCCAGGAAGCGATCATATAGGTCCTTATCCGTAACAGCGTCATCGAAAATACCGTCGGCGATCCGATCGAGTAACGGGAAGTATGAGGTGGAGTTCTCCTCCGCAGCGGATTCGCTACATAGAGGTCAGCCCAGGAATCAAGAGCATCCAACTAGATCTGTCTGAATTTCACTTACAGTAGCTCTATCAGATAAGGTGGGGAATCAAACGAAGCTTGGAGAGCAACATTGACTGATGGACTAGCGCGTCCCTGGATAGCCAGCAGGCCGGCAATCAATACAGATGCAAGTCGCCATGAGGCGAAATTTGCCAGTCCAGATACCATCGTCACAGCCCACCACGGGAAATGATACCTAGAGCTGATGGCAGCGGTGTTGACTAGCTAGCTGTTCCCGATAAGCTAGCTAGCAAGCACACATAACGGGCGGCGGATAAGCTCGAGGTGATCAATGGCAACAATGTAATTACCAATTCAGTATAATTAATGTATAGACCAATGAGGCATTAAAGATGCCCAGTCGAGCTTGCACAAGAAGTTTCTTTGGGTTGTTGAGCCAAGAGAGCAGCGCTTATAAGTCGGGGGGCATTTGGCCACATCGCGGGATGGGTGAGCTACTACGGTCGGCGCAGCGGCCAAAAACGCCGAACTTCCGCGCTTCAGCTGCGGCCCATTGGTTGGCGACTGCTGTCCACAGTATGAGGCTGGATTCTATAACGAGAATCACAAGGCATATAGCAATTTCCTAGGGTCGATAGAAGCTAGGTAGTGGTCTACAAGTCCGATTTCATAGTGTTCTTTCCTGTTCTGTTGCCCCGGGGCTGTTGCCGGATGGGTGAATGGCTCTAATGGAGACTATGCAGATTGGTGTAACTTTCATTGTTTTCTGGCTAGTGAACAGCAAGATTCGCTAATAGGAACAGGATCATGATCATTTATGTCAGTCAGTAGTCGTATCAGAATGTGTCAGCACTTTTGTCTTTCCAGCTTTTGTGCTTTTTCTCGCCATCTGGCGTTCAATCGCTTCAAAATAACCACCCCATACGCCAGTCTTGTATGAAACCCAACTACCATATGAAATCAAAACAGAAAATTAGCAAGACCTCGATGCACCTTAAATCCCGCATTCAAACTCCCAAATAAATCCAGTGTTGAAGCATCCAGGCTTATATTGATCCTTGTCTTGGTTTCTCCAAACCGCCAAGGAAAAACGAAAGACATTTGAAAAAGATTGAAGGAAAATTGTGAGTGAAAGAAAAGAAGAAGTGAAAGCTAGCACCAGGCTACAACACTCCGTTTCCAACTCATGCGGTGTCCTTGCTGAGTTGCTTCACGTGGGCTCTTTTGCGGTTGGAAGCCTCCCACAGCAGCCGCCTTCTTTTCTGTTCGTCCACCTCAAATAGTGAACTGTCTTCAGTTGAGCGGCCGCCAGTAGTGTCTGACCGGACACCCAGGGCGCTAGTTGATCTCATCTTCTTGAGATTCCTCGCCTTACCGGCATCACCCAACTTCCGGATCTCGCGGGCCAGCCGCTCAAGCGTCGACCCCGGCTTGTGGCTGGGCCCCTTAGGAGAGGGAGGCGGGGGGAGGGGCTTCTCTAGAAGGTCATCCATGCTCTTGCTGCACTCGACAGGCGAGGAAGGAAGCTTCTCCCCGGCATCAAAGCTGATGCCTGAATCGACCTTGCGGCCTTTGTGAGCCCGAGGCTGAGACTCGATACCCTCGTCCATGCCAGCCGGGCCATTCACCACGATGCATTCGTCAATGATCTCATTGGCTGTTCGGAGATACTTGTCTAGCGCCTCCCTGATCAGTGGCCAACCATTGTCCGATCCCTCTGGAGCACCCTGAGCGATCACTTTGGTGAGAACGTCTGGACCGTTGACCTCAACGGCTGCGATATACCGGAAAAACCCGTCCCGCTGAGACTTTAAAACCTGCAGGGTGAGGTGCGAAGTGGGAGGAACGGTTGCCTCTGTGACCGGGGGGAAAAGCGTGTTGAGCATAGCGATGCAATTGGCCTTGTTGAAGGGCTCCATCAACATCTCGTTGATCAACGTCTAGTAAGTAAGTTAGCCAGGATAAGTTTTCACAGTAGCGGCATGTATGCTTACCCAGCGACGCAGACCAACGTATATCTGAGTGTAAAGAGCTTCCACTCGGCGGCCCTGAGCACTGATAGATTCAAGCCAAGTCAAGACGCCAGGGTACTTTTTCGCCAGCTCGGTCTTCTCCTTCACATCATTGGGCTCCACTCCTAGCCTTTGCAGCGCGGCTGCAACCTCTTTCCGGCGACGGTTCTCAAAGTCCTTAAGATAGTCCAAAGCAGTCAATGCCTGGGGGAAATCGACCTCTTCCAACTCGGGGGTGAAGCAACGACGCAGGAATGAGGTGACAAATGTTGGAGGAAGCGAGCAAGGCTGCGTAGGCAACCGCGAGATCTGATGAGTCAATTGAGCTCGGAAATCAGCAGCAGGGTCCAACGAGTCTTGGGAAGTCGAAGAGTTGGTTGGGCGATGAAAGGCCGTTTCGGGAGCACGAGTACCAGGCACCGGTTGTCTCGTGGGATTGCAGTTCAGCGCGTACATGGTGCGCAATGGGATCTCATAGGTACCAGGGTAGCGAAGGCAATGTTCAAAGATCCAGGTAAGACTAGAGCCATCAGGGGCATCCAGATGTTCCTCAACACGCGTCATTTTGGACGACATTGATGGAGATGGTAATGAAAGTCAAGAGTGAAGAATGACAAGGTCAGCTGGTTACAAGGACCGATGGAAAGGCCGGGATATTAAAGCCACTCTGGAATAACAAGCCGGTTGGGTCCAGTCGGAGAAAAGGGAAGCCAAGGGAGTTGTGTGCGACGTGATAAGACGTGCAGGAGATCAAAGTGGGCAGGAGTTACTTGCAATGACGGCTGGCATCAGCTGCGTGTAACCTGTCCTCCCATAGCACGGATATGCGCCTTAAGAATCAAGCTGGGAAGCGACAAGAAATCCCCTTGGCTAGGGAGAGCAGGAGCGCTTATCCCTTTCCTTCTCGGTGTGAGGGGGCAAACGTTCCTGCGGAAGTGCCTCAGTTGGATCAGCCCGGCAGGGTGTCAGTTCATCCGCCGGTGGGGTACGTAGTAGTGGTATCTTTTGAGTTTCTTTGTGATCGGCTTTGAGTGATTGGCTGTTTTCCAGGAATGGAAAACGAAACAGCCAAGGAGAAGCGAAGGGTCTGTTTGAAGGACGGAAAGGCCTCGAGGACGCAGATACTAGATGTATGAACTCGAGTCACACAGAGGCGATAGTACCCGGATAAGGTTGCTTTCAAAGCAAACAAAATGGGCGAATCACGATAATGGAAATGAAGGTTATAAAAAACAGGTAGAACCCTTTAGATAGTTCTCCTTAATCGTGGGATCCTTTTTCTTTTCTATTTTCGATGTATCAGAGAGCAATAAAGAACCAAGCTGGCGGTTTGACGTTAGCCAGCAATAGTTTCCAATGAGGATCTGAGTGGAGAAACGATTGTGGAGAGAACGAGTGAGACACAACAAGGGCGACGAAGGAGGTGCCGACCGATGAAGATGTGGTGTTGGAAGTGGGAAGAAGGGGGAAAGGGAAAGTGAGATGTCTAGAACAAAGGATAACGAGCGGGGATAGCGAGAAATCAGATACTTTAAGAAAGGATCATGAACAGGAACAGGAACAGGGACCAGCAGAGTGTTTTGTGTGGAGGAAGAGGGGAAGGGGAGGTGGATAGCTGTTAGTCAGACGTGAATGGCGCGGACGGCCCAAGTGAAGTTAGCGACTCTGATTGTCTCGACCAGACGCCGTTCTGGACTTTTGGCCGCACCCACTTTCTCTTCCTTCTCTCTTCCGCCGGCCTCCATCCACCTCCCTCCTCGGCCACTCAAGTGCTGCCGTCCATTCCGGTTTAACTCCAGGATCGATCGGCTTCATCCCGGTTCCATGGATGTCACCCGTCCTGGTGAAGCTCCAGTCCGTCTTTTCCAACCGTTTCGCTTGCCAATCATGGCCCGCTAGTCTAACGGTAGACGAGATTGTTTGTTTACTAACATCCACGCACCAGTCTGTTTAGGATGTCTATGTGGGATAGCAACTATAAACCCGCTGGCTTGTCTCTTAACAATGTACTTTCTGATGGCGGATAAGCAGCCAGATGCATCAGGGAAGAAAAAAAAAAAAAAAGGCCCCTCTCAATTGCAAAACAAACCCACATTTGGTGCGCAGCTGATTTATTTTTACGCCTACTTACTCGCCACAGGCCGCATAAGGGGATATGCACGGAGAATGCATCGTTGACCAGCCAGACTTCCGCGTAAGAGCTTCGGGCTCCAGCAGGCAGGATTTAGTCCGCTCGGAGGACAAACTCCTTCGTGGTCGGCACGAACTAACCTCCCAAGAAGGCTTAGGGCGCCGATAAATGGGGCCAAATAGACGGCGGACTTTCGAAATTCAAAATTGAGCCCTGGCGTCCGTTCTGGTGGCTGTGGGGGGTTTTCTTCGCTCGGTCTCGATCTTTTGGCCGCACCAGGCAATGAAATTTTTGCAGGTCGTGCGCGCCTCCCTCGTAATTCGAGTCAGATGGTTGATTGATCGATTAATGAATTACTTGATCCATCATACCATGCCAGATTGGTACCATTGAACGTGCGAAACTCGATGGAGACTAGAGACAACGAATCCCACGGTCCAAAACCTCGGTTCTACCGGGCTGTCAATTGGGGGCGTGTCAGTCAAGGAGGGTCCGCCAGTGACTCTTGGAACCGTCCGTGTGGGTCTCGAGTCAGGACACGCAATCTATCTCAGGACGGCCACCCACGGAACCACCAGACAATGAACAGATTAGCGAAATGAGGCAACTATTGACGCTCGGATCTCTCGCTGGGCAATAAATAGTATCGCCAGTGCGTCATACCTGAGGCTCGGGTTGACATTGCGTACTACGTACATGGTTCTCCGTACAGTCGTACACATCAGAAACTTAAAGAGAACGACGACGCCAGTGCGAGTGGGATGTGTTCACTCTTCTCTTTCTAAGACATTCAATATGGTTTTACCTGAAACAGACTAACACGGGTGGGACACATACGTCTGTCATAAGCAACGCCTTAACCTGAGCATACGAAGTGTAGTCCTGGGCCCTGTGCCAGCGTTGCGATGCGATTCTGGCTCTCAGTTGGCCAGTTACTAGTAATGATCGGAGAAAGTACCGTTCAGTCCAGTATACATATTTGCATGTGCACAACCGCCTATGTTAGCCTCAGCTCCTAATGACACTGTGATCTGAGCCACAATAGAATGGATATACTCACTTTACTGGAAAATTTATGGATAAACATTGGTCCCGTTGCTTTGTCTTCCGTGAGCAGGGAAGGGCAAGATTGTCGCGAAAGAAAGAAAACCGCCCAAACGATTGGCCACTGCCAATTCGGCGATCAATTAAAGGGCCTGATCCTGCATGCAGGATTGTGGGATGTGATCTACCACCTCGCCCACGAGGGACATGATTCCATCCAGGATGTTGGGCGCAAAAGCACGAAACATTTACGGAGCAGTGTACCCAAGTACCCAAGGGGGAAATGGAAACGAGTAAGATCGCCAAAAAGTAACAGTCTGTAGCTGCCGGTGATCCAGACGCCTTGCCTATCCCTTTTTTGCCGGAGCGTCCGGGAACGACCGCAGAGCCGGAGATCGTCTATGCCAGTCCATCTGAGACAAGCAACTGATAAACCCGCCCCTTATTGCCGGGATACGGCGATCAGTCAACCATGATTTCATTGCAGGAGCCTAATTGACACTAGCGATCAGCTTTTGTCACAAGGGGCAAATCTGTGCCTGTCCACCCACGGTGGACGGGATTACGGACTACATAATCAGCCATGCTACGGTGAGCCTGTCTGCGCCTTTGGCGGACGATTTCTTCAGATGCTGCTGCATTAGGTGTAGGCATCACGAACCATCCTGTCCGATGTGGGATTGCCTGCAGTAGCTTTCCGAGGATGAGTGTAAGGCGACGCAGCTAATTCTCGCGGACTTTCTATTGTCCAGCCATTGGACACTTGATGAACCAAGGATCGCTGCACTTGTACACCCACCGAGGAACACACAGTCGATAGACCTTTTTGGTAAGTTATTGCCTGTACACTGGACCTGGCTTCATCCTGTCCGGGGAGAAGCATTGGGAATCAATGCCAGGCGTTCGGTGACCCAACACTAATGGCTTCCAACCTTTTTCTGTGCCACATCTACACCCCATAATGAGTGGCGAGCTGAGCCTCTCCTGAACAGCAACCAATACCCTCAGAAGTGGTATTCGACGCAGTGCCGTCTCCACGACACATACTCTTTGGCTCGCCTCTGCAAAGTGATTAGCACTAAGTGCCGCATCTGTAACCTTTGGAAAAGTTCAGTAAGAAGAAGCAGAGGATTAAGAACTTCCTGGTTGCTTCGATTAGATACCAACTAATCTGCAGCATCGTGAATGCGCAGGAAATTGTTACGCTGCTGATGACTTGCCACATAGTAGCCCATAAGGATCCAGTACCTTGTCTCTCCCCATCTTTTCAGCTGCCCTCTCAATCACACACTACTATATCGCCCCCATTGCACGCGCCTCATAATCAAATGTAAATGAAGCAATATATTGTGTAAGATTTGGAAGAACATACGATTCCTATTCGGCGAACCGGAATTACTATCGGGTAACAGATCATCGTAGTGCAGGATCTCTGCATATGATGTGGCCACCCACATGTGTAGGACCTTAATTTCCCTTAAAAAGAGGACTGGCTAACCCTTAATTAGATATAAGAGAAAATGCATTGTTAGGAAACCCATGTTGTCCGCAATCGGTGAGATAGACTCTTCAGTGCTGCCCATTAGCTCTGGAATATAGATGAAGCCGGACTATGGTCGCCATCGGAATTCTAGTTCTCAGTCCACTAGCTCTGTCTTGGTAATTATTTGGTTACATTTGATATTGATTTGCATTTTACTTTCTGTTTCTTATTATCATTCTATTTTATTTTTTCCCTCGGTTATATGATGTGTCCTTAACCGATTCCATATCCGGAGTGAGAGGTAAAACAGAAAATAAGATTAGCTGAGATTGACGGACGCATGTGATACTCTGATGCTTACATGCAGACTGAGTGTAGTCTGTTTTCGTTGCAAGATCTTTTGTTTCTTTGCTCGGAGGGTTGTAAATTGGCATCTCGCTATATGGATTCTCTTATTTAACTCTGTTTTCGACCTTTTCCAGCATCGATACCCTTCTAAAGATCTAGATATATACTCTCTTTACTATCATTGATGATACACTGGCAGAGTGTCCATCTTGCTGTCAGGTCTGCTACATCATAGCTGACGTGGGCCAATTCATTATATGACTGTAATTTGGATGGATGACACACAGAACATAGTTGTAAAAGTTGTGGGACTATTTCGTGTGGGTTGCTTTGTTTCAAATGTAGAAAGACTTTAAGACCATGCGTAATACAGACTTTCCCCTTGCTATGCCACTTAGCCATTAGTATATTAGCCGGATAGGTGGGTGGTAGGTCTCGAGGGGTGTCTTTTTGTTCATAGTCATTTATTGTGCTTATCGGTGGAACTGTATACGACCTGTTGGTGGTTTTTGTTAGTGGTGAGTGCTGAGTGCCTGGTGGTTAATGTGGAGCGATTGATTTGTCTGTGGATACAGAGGAGATGATAGACGTCATTGTGGGGTGACTGCTGATAATATATACTAGTAAGTACTGGCATTTAATAGATTTTGGATACATGAATTGAAGCGAATGATACATAGAATCTGGACTGCCATGTTATATATGCAAGTCAGTACTAGAAATGATGACACTGGTGAATATATATAGTGTCCGCTAGGGGCGAATCGGCTCCGTTCAGCAGTTTACATCCGGCATACGAGTAGTAGGCTATTTCCAGTTCCATCCCATCATTGAACGAATATATATTTTCTACTCGTATGCATTGAACACTGATTTTTGCACGGATGAACAGACGATCAGGTTCAATTTTGATCTTGCAATTGCGTGCTCATTGGTTGCCACATGCGCTATGATCATACTACTAGGACGTCCTGTTTTGCGTCTCCGGGTAGTCGCCTAACACTCATCAGTGCTAGATATGACGGGGATGGAAAAGCAAATGATAACGGACAATGCTAGCCTCCTACGTGGATAACGGAGCATTGAACGAATAGTCCCGAATGGACGGGATCTGGCCGGAAGCTTCATCCAATCCCCCTTCAATCAGTGCGGGGTGAGATGCAGCTCTTCATGGACACTTCATCGACTCGGCCCGCCATGAAGCCCTCGCTCAAGCCCGCTCACCCATATCCGGGCGATTGACGAGTAGGATTGTATTAACGCCCAATCTCTCGATAAGAGCTTGTCGCTCGGCGTGTTGACTCGGCCCAAAAAGAAGTCCCTACATAAGGCAGACCACCAACCCTGGCCCAGAATACGCAGACAACCGACAGCGGCTGAATCCATTATCTCACCCTCCAATTCAAGTCTTGCATTACCGGTAGACGATGTCACTTCATCCACTTGACCCCGCTACTGCGGTCGAGATCGAACAGGCTACCACCTTGGTCAAAGACGCTTATCCTGGGATTCCCCTGCATTTCAAGGCCGGTGGTCTACAGGAACCACCCAAGGAGGCTTTGCTCAATTTCCTCGACGCTGAACACAACAACAGACCCCTACCTTTTCTCCCAAGATGTATATTTCTCAATTGGTACATCAAAAGGACGCCTAGGTTCTTCGAAGCCGTGGTAAATGTATCCAATGGCACCTTTGTCCACCACGCTGAGCTTCCTCGAGACTTTCATGGCCCGGGCGACCGAGCGGAGATGAACGAAGTGGCCCAGGCTGTCATGGCTGATCCTGCAGTACAAGCAGAGATTAAGCGCCTACAGATTGATGACACCACGGTCGTTCTTGACCCGTGGGACTATGGTGTGGATGGCGAGGACACACAAACGAGGCACGCTCAAGTGTTCATGTACATGAGAAACCCTGCAAACAACGACCCAGACTCCAATCACTATAGCTTTCCGCTAGACTTTATGGTCACTGTTGACTTGTGCGCCATGAAGGTGAAAAAGATCATCCGACTTCCTCTTGGGGCCGATGAGAGCGTGACGCACGGCTCTAATGTACTTCATCGTCGTACGGCTCCAGAGGAGCCTGAATATGACCATCGTCTGCAGAAGACTCCTCCGCGGATGACATTGAAACCGTACCAGGTGATTCAGCCCGAGGGTGCCTCCTTCACTGTCAAAGGTCACCTTGTCGAGTGGGAGAAATGGCGATTCCGAGTTGGGTTCAACTGGCGTGAAGGTCCTAGCTTACTGCCTCTTGACTGAATTTCTTCTGACTCTGGACAGGATTAACACTGCATGACCTCTCTTTTGACGGTAAAAGCAACTTCTACCGTCTATCGCTCGCTGAGATGTTCGTTCCGTATGGTGATCCGCGCAATCCCATCTACCGTAAGGCTGCGTTTGATCTGGGGAATGTGGGAGCAGGTGTAACGGCCAACAACCTTGAGCGTAAGGACCTCGCTCCTCCATTCGGAGTATCTAAGCTTATTCTTATCAGTTGGCTGCGACTGCCTGGGGATGATCAAGTATATAGACGGTCACGTCGTTTCGGTAGACGGGAATGCATCTCCTCGACCCAATGCGATCTGTATCCACGAGATTGACAACGGGATCCAATGGAAGCACACCAATCACCGTACCGGTAGAGCGACGGTAGTTCGCAAGCGCCAATTGGTTCTCCAGACTATCATCACAGTTGCCAATTACGAGTACATCTTTATGTGGTACTTTGACCAATCTGGTGAGATCACCTTCGAGACCAGAGCGACTGGGATCCTCTCCACTCAACCTATTGGAAAAGACGTCGTGGTCCCGTGGGGAACCCGCGTGGCAGATGGTGTCATGGCCCCGTACCACCAGCACTTGTTTAGCCTTCGGATTGATCCTGCGATCGGCGGAGTGCGCAATAGTTTTGCTTCCACAGATTCTGTGGCCATGCCATGGGATGATCAACTCAATCCTCTTGGTACAGGCTACGTGACAGAGCAGAAGATCCTCGACCGAGCAGGTCATGTTGATGACGACGTCAGCAAAGGCCGGGTATTCAAGATACTAAATGAAAACATTGAGAACCCGGTCTCGGGAACCCCTCTGGGGTATAAACTCGTTCCTCATCGGTCCCAGGTAAAGTCCTCCCTACCCAGTGTCCCCGAAACCAGCAGGGGATTAAAAGAACCGGATAACAAGAACACAAAGAACAAGTGACTGAGCACAGCGCAAGGTAGCGATGCTAATTCCATTGACCGAATACAGATGCTCCTAGCCAAACCCGGCTCCTGGCATTGGCGGCGGTCTGAATTCGCCGAGCACTCGATCTGGGTCACCAGGTATCACGACGCCCAGCTCTTCCCAGCCGGAAAATACACAAACCAGTCGTTGGGTGGCACAGGCATCAAGTCCTGGGTTGAGTCCCGGGAGAACGTCCGCAACCAGGATATTGTCATCTGGCACACTTACGGTCTTACGCATAACCCTCGTGTGGAGGACTTCCCAGTAATGCCGGCAGAGATTGTTCAGGTGCATTTGAAACCTTACAATTTCTGTTTATTCAATCCGACGAATGACGTACCTCCATCTAACCAGCAGGCGAATCAGAGTGTTGAGTATAAGGCTCCAGAGCCGGTGGGGTCTGTGTGCTGCAAGAGTAACTTGTAGAAGCTTTTGATTCGCTTGATTCGTTGAAATGTGGGTGTTAGGTCACACAGATAATAATAGCGGTCCTATAATATCATACGGCTGTTTTAAAGCTCATGTAGCTCAAGTCATTCCAGAGACACTGTTTGCGTTGGTCACCTACAGCGGAGAGTATCGCCGGCAAGGAGATTAAACCGGTGGATGTCGAATGACGCACATAGAACAACGAGCAGAATATTAGCAGGTTAGAGTGAATATCTTTGAAACGTTCTTGCTGATCATGTCTCCTTGGTTTCTATCACCATACCTCATGGCCAACAAGGGAGTTAGCCTGTATCAGTCTCATCATCGAAGCTGTTCACAAGATCGGCATGCTGCCATTGAGCTTAAATCCTCTAACAATAGAAATGTGGTGTCATTAGCAGCAGCGGTGTTTCATTCACACCTTCCCTTTTAATTATGAGCCGACAACAACCGACAGACGTTGGGAATGTAATGAGGGCGAGACTCCAGAGAAGTGGCGACGTCAACAACAGCAACAGTCTACAACGAGCCAATAGGCGAAGAAGCCGGAGACAAACAAGGTTATAACTCTGGATTTGCTTGTGACCAAACCTTGGGTGACTACAGTGGATGATACAACGTTGGGATGCATTACTCCCCGAAGGCCTCGAAGCACGTGGCCGGAGGGGGTTTCTGCGACGCAGTCTCTTACCTGTCTCGCCCCTGCGGTTTCAACTGGCCACTGATCACTGTGGGCTGTGACGCCATGTTCCCCCACTCATGGCGGGGCAGTCAGTCTCTGTCGATGAGCTATCCTTCTCTTCATAGTAGCTACGTTAGTGAAGCTGACCTGGTTAGCGCACACCGGAATCTACGAGAAAAGTTCAAAGCCAAAGCAACAGGCCACGAGAGCAAGAGACACACTTACGTGGCATATCATACACAATCAGGATATCCATCTTAAAGCGAATCAGTGGCAAAGGGATGGAATTATCCTTCATCACGAGCTCCTCCAGTCATGATGCTATTTATTTCACAATCAATGACGGTATCTTCATGAATCATGGTGGAGATTACTAGTGTTTCAACGCACAACGCTTCATCACTCATTACCTAAGATTCCAACGGACGATATGAGAGGCGGAATGTGCTGCCGCTGTAACCTTGAACGTGGGGGTGGGATGCTTTGGGGGACCTAGACGTGACCGGGGAACAAACCAGGGCACAGAAACTTATCTGACTCGAGAAAAGGTAGTGTCTTCTGTGACGGCGACTCAACACGCAAGTGAAATGTCTGGGCAGGGGGATGACGGGCTTGATCTCACCAAGGGAATGGTGATGTCGATCCATGAACTCGAGAATTCCAGAGTGACTAAGTGGCCACCCTGGCTGAGCAGCCACCCCGAGCAAGACCGTTCTCAGCAAGGAGAAAAGAGAGGTAGCGAAGCCGCGTGGCATTCCAGGCCCTACCAAAATTGCAAGGTTTAGGTTATGACTGACGTTGTGACTTGAAGTCCAGCGATAGACAGGCCAGGTTTACGTGTTTCATCCATGGTTGAGCTTCGTCTCTCCCCACGGGTTGACGAATCTTAATTCCGACATACGACGGCAATGTCCTACTCCTTCCTATTTGGGTATTTTGCTGTGGCCTTTTTTGTTGCAGCCAATGCGGGGAATTCAGTATATAATGCACTGTGTCGCCCTCACTACAGTCCAAAACACCAGTCAAATGCCTTCATCTGATCCAATACTTTGCAAACCAAAGACCATCCGTCTCCACAGCCCCTCAACATCATGTCTGCAGTGGCAGAATTCCTCCATCTGCCCACGACGGTAGTACGTCGGGCACCCCGCCTCAGTGCGGGCATCTCTCAACTCACAAATCGACCCGCCATGCCAGGAAAGCTGGCAGCCATTTCCCATGGCAAGCTACAACGCGAAGCTGCATCTCAAACCCCCGACCTTCGCCGCTGCCTAGGCCACCACAACATTCTCATCCGTTGCGTGAAAGCAGCCCAAGAAGACAATGCCCGAGTTATGAAAGAAACCTATGAAGATGATCCAGATCTGGCGCCCACGAGCGGAGAGTCAGAATTTCCGCCCATCCGGACGCAGATCACCAACGCTGTCAAGACTATGGTGCGAAACCGGCGCACTACCACAGCAGACAAATCCTCAGATAACGGACTGGTTCGTGTGGATGCAAATGGTCCGGAGACGACTATACGATCGAAACGACGCGGAGTTCTTGCAACGATGTTAGGGCTGAAAGGCAAAGGAATATTCCGGAATTCGCAGACGAAGGATAATTTGCGCATGCATTCTGCTTTTTGATGATATATCGGTGCATGGTGTACTTGGGGGTATATCTTTTTGGATGGAGTTCTGATTTGATTTGAGAGCGTCTTACGAGATATAATGATGTGACGACTGTTATGACTTGCTACGATGAATATGTTGCTTATGAAGGCATTTTGAACTTAGCATATGCAATCCATATCACACACAGAGATTGAGTTCTAGAAATTGTAGACCTTTGTCTTTAACTCCTTAGTATCAAAATTACACCATTCTGCTACGATGGCACTTGCATGATGAAGCACATCCACTGAGAGTTGGAGAGATATCCGGATCTACACATCCCAACTCTAATCCTTCTAGCCGAACTGATATCGACATATGCACATCATTTTTCTTCATGTGCAGAACAATGGTGCTGATCAGAATTTAGGCTTGGCCATGATCTAGCTAAGTGGTGAAACAATTGATATATCTGCGAGACACAGATTACGAACTTAGTATGACTCACAAATGCTGACTATAGTCTCTCTTCATCAAAGGCAATTATTTTCAGTTCTCCGAGAGCTGCTCCGTTGTCAGTATATAAAACCAGTATACCTATAAGGATCAGTACTATGTCCTTAAAAAATTGGTTAATAAGCATTTCTATCGTCCAGAGGTTTAGTAGTGTGCAGATTCCCCACCACTTCAACTTCTCCAAACCCAAACCAAGAGAACCAAATCCCACAACAACAAAAGGCATGGCTGACATTAAGTGGAGATTTTCTCTCTTCCACGCCCCACTAACTAAATCAATTCTCCGTTGACCATTATGACGTGCCTACTATCCAGACCACTAGACTCCCTCCAGTAACCAAGTGGGGTGACAAGTTCATACCCGGTGCCTTTAGCATCACTCACGCCCAAATCTGCCCAATAACAACCCACCCTCAACAACCGCCAACACATCAAGCTTATAACGGATCTCCACCCAAACCACCAGATGAAACATGGCACCTGGAATGGACTGCATTGGGTTTCAAGCACCTCGAGCTTGATGTGTTGCCGTGTGATTGGCCCAGTGGAAATCATCATGGGATGGACAGCTCATAGGGTATGAATTGATGTCTTACTCACTGAGTGAATAATGCATACTGGAGGTAAGAAGGGGAGAGGTAGGTATATCCTGCGTGTTCCCCCCAGTTGCGTCTCCAGGAAGTGCAGTGAATTCTCCGTTACTTTGGTCCGGTCGTGTTAGCAACTATTGTGCTGCTGCTTGACCCCCACCCCCTCTTGTTCGACATTCTGGAGGTCATCTTTGACTACTATTGCTCGGCTGAAGAAGAAGATTTGAGTGTTAGTGTTAGTATTAGTTGGGATAAGTCTACAACTACGAGTACGGCTTCATCTACAGCTACAGACATGGTCGCCGGCGGCAACACCAGCAACATGTCGGCTAGATATACTCCCAATGTGAAGCCCGAATTTGACGATGATCTCGAGGAGTATGAGCAGCCAGAGCTATCGTGAGTATCTTCCCTTCCTTTTCACCACCTCCCAGAACCACTTACTAACCATGTATACATGGCATGAAACAGCCCCTACGAAACCCGCCTCGTAATCGTCCTCCTCGGCCCCAGCGAGCGCAAATTCTCCATTCCAGAATACTACCTCAAGCAGTCGCCCGTCTTCGCCGACATCCTAAGCACCTACCCGAACTTCATCACCCGGACGACCCCCTGCATCGCTCTCCCAGACATTGACGACGACATCACCCACACGATCGTCCACTACCTGCACACCGGCACGTACCAGACCCTCCGGCATGGCGGCGACTGGACAAAGACCGAGTACCGACGCAGCGTGCTCGCCTACGCCGCCGCATCCAAGTACGAGCTCAGCGGACTACTGACCCTCTCCAAGAAATACATGCAGAAGCTAGACAAAGACTTATCCATCTTCGACGTCCTCAGCGTGGCCAGAAAAGCCATCACCAAAATCCCGGACTGGGATCAATGGTTTTTCAGCGTGTATGTACGGAGCCGTCTCGCTGCGGCGTTCGATGAAGATGAGGATTTGTTCGAGAGTCCGCGCTTCCAGTACCTTCTTGGAGCGGAGCCGGGGTTCGTGACGTGCTTGGTCCAGGCCATGGTAGCTATTTACGAGGCGAAGCTGTCTGAGCTGAAGCAGTATCCTAAGATAAACGGATACCACCATCATGACAGAGACGAAGACAACAGGGAAGAGCAAGAACATGATAACACTAATGGTGGTGGATACATGGAACCTATACCCACCAGCCCCGGACGAAACTACAACAAAGCGGTAATCTTCATCGAGGAGACCATGTCGGACAGACAACCCTCCGAGGGCGCCCCCTCGGAGGCAGGATATCCGGACTCAATCCAAGAAGAGAACCTCACCACCACAAGAGAACACATGGAAGCGTTCCCCGAACTAACAGATGACGTGTACGTCCCTGAAGCGCAGCAACAGGAGGAGCGATACGCCCCGACCGAAGAGACGATCGTTGAGGAGCCAGGACCGGAGACCGAGACGAAGACACACGGACTAGATAAAGACATAGTGACTGAGCGGTGGGGTGCATGGCGCAACTGGGCAACCAAAGATAGGGACTGGTACAGGAACGACATGCATGATGGAGCGACGACGGTGGTGCCTGAGAAGCCTGCTGTTCCTGAGCCGCCGCCGCCCGAAGACCCTGTTCCGGAGTACCCCGAGATGCAGCGCTCCGTGACGGAGGAGACTGCAACTGAGAGTGTTCCGGCGGAGAATGTCAATGTTAATGGGAAGAAGCTGGGGAAGAAGAGCCGTAAGAAGAAGATGCGGGCGCTGTTTTCCTCTGCGGAGGAGCCGAAAGCTGAGCTACAGGCTGCGTATTGATTGGTCGTGGGGGTTGGCGGATGGGATTATGGTAAGACTGTACAAAAGCTTTGGCGTTTGGGATTTGTTTTAGTAGAAAGTCATCATTGACGATACTGTCTTAATGTGAATACGAGAATAAATGAATTATTGGAATACAACGAGAATTGCTTTTAAGGAATGTCGCGATAAGCCCGATAAGAATCCCGACAGACTTAACGCTAACCACATTCGGCATGGCACCTTCAATTTCCCAATTCCATCACTTTACTTTATCGCTGCTTCGCTCCTCTTCATTCCCTCATCTCGATATACAACAACCCACTCGCTGCTTCTTACCAGCAACCTCGAACATACCCTCTATCACCCGCCCAAGATGACACCTGCTCCATTAACCAAAACACTCGAATTCGAGAAAAAGAACCAGAACATGCCAAAACTCCCCAAACGTTAGCTTTCCTTCCTCCGCCTCTTTTCACGCGACAACCCCCACTAACCCTGCTACGCAATGTAGATGTGAAAGTCCAAAAGCGCCCGATCCCACATCCATCCACTCCCTCCCCATACTCAGGCTCCTCGTCACCCAAAACCATCTACGTTTCATCCAGCTCCCCCACAATGGGCGTTGTCAAGCGCGTCCAGAAGTACCTTCGGGCGGCGGAGAACCGCGCCACGGCAAAATTGCTCAGCGGAAATAACAAGGGAAAGAAGGGCGACCGAAGGAATCAGTTCGCGCAGTTGGCGCGAAGTAACGAGGCGTTGAAGAAGGAGGAGGTGTTTGTGAAGGCCACGGGGCGGGCGATGGAGAGGGCATTGAAGGTGGGGAAGTGGTTTGAGGCGAGGGGAGAGGAGTATACTGTGAGCGTGAAGACGGGGAGTGTCCTTGTGGTTGACGATGTGGTGGAGGATGAAGAAGAGAGGGAGAAGGCGGTAGAGGAGAGCGAGAGGATGAAAAAGGAGGTTGAGGAAGCAAAGCTGAAGGGTGAGTATGGGGAGTTAACCAAGTCGGCGATGCGGAAGAGAAAGAGGGCTGTTGCGCGGTTGGAGGGCGAACAGGAGCTGCCGGAGACGAGGACGAGGTGGGTGAATATGGTGGAGGTGGCAGTTTCATTGAAGTGAGGCATTCCATGGAATGGTATTATATTGCAATGAAAAAAGGAGGACAATGGAGCCAACCGGCACGCTACTGAGACCAGCCAGGCAGGTAAGGCCCTTCATTTGCGGGCGCCATGGCCAAGCATTTCTGCAGATGCAGACGCAACTCAGCAAGCAGGCCCAACTTGACTTTAACCGCTTTTTGGCCCTCGAAGTACAGCAATGGATCCAGACTTGGTATCGATTGTGCCCTTGCCCGGTGTCTTGACGGCGGCATCAAAAGCCGCCTTGGAAGATTCTTCCGGCTATGCAGCGTCTACCCAGCGTCCATGTGCAGCGGACGCCCAGCAGCAACGTACAAGCGTTGGCGGGCGATCTATCTCACAGAATTTCAGGTATTTTTTTTTTTGGACAAGGGCACGGCAAACCCTCTAGGGAACTAGTGTTACAGAAAATCAAACTGTGCTGTTTACATCAGAAGCAACTTCTAGTTGTTTTGTTCAAATCCTTCCCGCGCCCTTTTAATAGCACTACTAGCAAGGCGACCTAATTCTATCACAAAGTCTTCGAAGAGCTTAATGTGATAAGCCGACAATCTCGGGATTTCCGGTGGCACACGTGTTCTGATATGTGTTGGCACTGACATGAACAATTCCAAGTCGTCATCGATGCCCTCGTGCGTTGGGTTGAAGAGTATGTTGGAAAAAAGGTGGCAAACGGCTGTCAAGAAATAGGGAAGACAGAACCTACGAGACATGTTAATGATCAAACAGAATGAACTTGCCTACAACCAACGCGTACCTCAGGTTATTCTTGTTGAATTCGAGGCGGTCATCTAGGAATTTCTGCAGCATCGATCGACTCGCTTCAACGCTGATAGCGAGGCTTGAGCCCGCTTTAGATGTGTCTTGATTTTGGACCCAGGAAGAGCATCTTCCACTTGCTTGGTGGATCATACCCATGCAATACAGGTAGTGTAATTGAAAGATCGTATTTTGCATGTCCAAGGCGTTTGTTTCCCGATCAATGAGGCGTGGCCGAAAGTTGGTGGGAATAGACATTCTCCAAATTTCCAAGGCGCTGTCAAGATCGCGAATAGCGCCCAATAATTGGGCATCCGTCTGGCGCAGAGCTTTCAAGGAGTATAGTCGATGGTATACCTCAGACTGAAGCATGGCAAGACGTATGCCTGCGAGGAATTCTGTCGCAGTGTGGTGGATATCAGGGAGAGTGAGGTCGCACTGATTCTCATCCAGGCACGGAGAATGACCCGCGCGTAGACTAAACTCCTTATCCATGATGTAACATATCCAAAATAATTCTCGGACATGCAGGCTCCTCCTGAACTGATCGTCATCGATGTAGACTGGAGCAAGGTGACCATTTAGATGAAAGACGAAGCGTATCGCGGCTGCTAGTAACATCTCGAGAATCAGGATATTCCCTGTGATTACCAAGGAGCAAAGACTCTAAACGTGCATAATATCTTAGTACCCGCCTGCCTTGCTCACTTCTCACACTGAAATTTCCTTTCATCTTCCATAACCCAGTGCAAGGTTGTCAAACTTACGAGCATCAGATTGGCCTGCAGACCATCTATAGTAACAGACTCATGCAGCATCCGGGGGACCAAGTCGTGGGCAGTCTGAAGATGGTCCTCTGTATGTATTACTCTATTCCCCTGTTGTTGGCCTGCTGCATGTAGGCAAATTGTCGTGAACGCATGAATGCAGGCCCTAGCGCTGTCAGCACCAGGAGATGAGATACTTGTTTCATTATGGTAGGCGGCAGCGACAGTTGATTCGAAGAGCACTCGGTCTACAAACGGAAACAACCTGGCAAGGTCTGAATTTTGCCAGTCGTCGAGTAGCTGATACAGGAACTCCTTGTCCGGAAGCGGTAGTGCATGCGCGGCGCCATTCGACGTTGATGGATCGAGTGTAGATGGCCTTGGTGACGTATATTCGAGATTTACGTCTTCGCCGGTGCGTTCCTTGATCCACTGGCGGCCAGTAGCGGAGAAGAACGGCAGGCCATTGAAGGTGCATAAATTCCCGAGAGTATGTCCTCCGACATGGAGATTGCTCTGGGGCCCAACAGTGAAGGTTAAGTCCGAACCACTTTGTCTTGTTGGCGCGGCTAATTGGCCGGTCACGTCTACATTTTACCCACAACAGGGTCAGTGTCTTTCTCAGTATAGATATGAATTCTCAGATCATTGAATGGAGGCTGGAAAGGGCAGTATATGTTTACCTTGAGAAGCAATAGGTATTGCTGTGGAATCAAGCCGTTGAGTGCTTTGGACAAATTTTAGTGAACAACCATGACTGCATTGAGAAAACCATACCCTGAAGAGTCATGGGATTTAGAGCGTTCCTGAATACGCTCCTGGTTGCGCTTGAAAGTACAAGGAATATCATGGTGATGGCACCAATTGCAACGGGGCGTTGCTGCATCACACTGGATCTAGATTGGGGTTTCAGATCGGATTGGACATGTAAGGAGTCGAAAATAGCAATCTGTACCTTTCTTTTGTAGCAGGCATCACAAGCGCGACAAATTCGCCGTCGGCGTTTGGGACGAGGTTTTGCTATAGATGGTCCTGACTGCATGCTTGGAATGGGAACTACATCATCCTTGACTTAGTTGTAGCAACTAGAACCCCGGTCGGAACGCTGCGGCGATCGACGTCTCCGGTGCATCACGTGAGGCTGCCATCGCGAATATACTACTACCGATTTCAAAAGCGCCAACTATGGAAATATAGATAGAATATACGCAATTGATGAGATCGGCCTGGATATAGGTCGTCAAGTAAAACAAGAAAAGCATGAAATGGTCATTCATCGCTCGGCTGAAAAAAAGGAGTATGCTATGATAGACTAATACACACAAAGGCGGGTGAGCCTTTTACACGACCTGCTTCTGCCCGTGAGAAAGAGACATTGACATAGAAAGAAATCCCACTGCTGCCAGGAAATCGTTACTGGTACAACAGGGCGCCCACGAGGAGTGATATCTAGGAACAAACAAGAAAAGTGAGAGAGGGTCATGCAAGTTATGCAAAAAGGATAACTGCACATAAGAGGAGGTCAAGAAGAGGGAATAAACGGAAATAACGGGGAACGAAGAAGAATCAACCCATAGACCCAGCGCACAATCCCTGCTGAGCGTCGGAGCAGAATACAGGATGGGACGAACTAGAAAACAGAACCAGCGGAGAATCAGAAAGAAAAGGTATAAAAGGATCGGAGGTTGGTAACTTGAAGAACAAGATAAGCTTTTCAAGGTGCTATCGAATGCACAATTTGTGACATGCGCCAGCAGAAGGCAGGATGTGCTTGCCAAAATGATCATTTGTCCATCTTCTGCCAGCCATTCAGGTAAGCCATCAACCCAACGCCTAGAAGCACCACTCCAAGCATAGACGCAAATGGA